AAAGAAAGAAAGAAAAAGAAAGAAAGAAAGAAAGAAGGAAGGAAGGAAGGAAGGAAGGAAGGAAGGAAGGAAGGAAGGAAGGAAGGAAGAAAGAGTTTTTCACAAACTGGCTTTGGTGGTCAGTTATGATACTAGGACTCCAGATAACAGGTGTCACTTCTGGGCCCCAAGTCCATATGTTATGCAGGGATAACAGTAATATCACCTTTATGAACCCATAGAGGTATTTCCTTAGTGCAATAGCTGTCTCCTAGTAAGTCCACATCAGGCACCTAGGATGTTATTGACCTCTTATACAGGTTGACAGTGCTGTATGACATCAACAACAACGACAGTGCAATAGCTGTTCAACAGCTTTCTGTGCAATACAGAACACCTGATGTAGATCCAGTTAACCTTTTGTACTTATTCAGTCCCAAATAAAATCCCACGATTCTGTCCTTCTTGTTGCCTAATCCTGCATGCACCTATGTCTTTGTCAGCGGAGTTCTTCAGTACACTAACACCTGCATGTGATCGAAAGTCACCAGCAACTGCTCTGTGATCCATGACCTCTGATATCGCAGTGCCACTGTGCATATTTCCTAGTGCTGTGTGGCACATGAACACACTCCCTACACCTATAGGAGCAAGTCCTGGAGGAAGTATCAGCTGCTGTTTCACTTGGAGGAGGAGGAGTCCAGTTACACAACAGCTTAGCAAACACAGAAGATAAGAAAAACCTGCTCCCAGATCCCAAGCAAGTGCAAATTCACCTCTGCCATCTCTCAGAGATGACCTGAAGTAGCAGGCAAGACCATGCTGCAGGATGGTGTCCCTGCAGGAAGGGTGTCCCTGAAGCAGTTGTACTGCATATGGCATAAAGTGATGATCCTGTAATTTGAGTGTGAGAAAGAGCCTGTGTGACTCTCCAGTCACAGGGTCATATACTGGCCAGGACATCTGAGTTCTCAAACCTGCTGCAGATAGAATAATGAATGCGTCAACAGCTTTGTGTCATCCATGGTAGAAGAGCAGGTGAAGCAGATCTCAAGTATTCACATATTCTCACACACACACTTGTATATAAATATGTCCTTAGAAAAATGAGTCACTACACAACATTTTTTAGACTAATAGTGAAGGAGGAAGACTCCTGACTAGAGGAAGGCTCAACCTAAAATCTAGAGTTAGCTCCAAAGCTGAATAAAGAAATGTGGCTCAGAACACGCTTCACAATAAAGAAAAGTTGTGAAAGAGCAAGGATAGATTACTAGAAGTCTGCAACAATGTAAGAAAATGATCAAATTACTCAGGACTTGTACAGTCAAGGAAAGAGATGAGTGAGGGATGTGGCAGAGGTGTGTAAAATTAAAAGTGTCATGGAGAGGGTAGTCTGGCACCAATTTTGTACTGCATCTACCAATTCAAAAGTGAGCACTATCAAATGAAGCTCCAAGTAAAAATTCAAACTGAACTAAAAGGTGTAGTTCTCATTAAGTGGGTGGAAATCCTTGCAGCGATATCAAAGATGACAGAAGTTGATATGGGCTTAAGCAGCAACCAGATCACCTTTTCCTATTTTTTTCCCCTGGGCATCCACTTAAGATTTACTGGTAGTTTGGAGGTAGGAATATGTTTTAATACAGGAAAAAGAACAAAAACAGTTTCCCACATCACAAATTTTACTGTCAAGTTCCCTGGATCTGGGGAAGTTGCAGAAATCAGTCTACCTGAAGTCCTAGTGATGAGGCTCACTCTCAAAAAACACCTTCATGATCAGAATGCCTCCCTGTCAGATAGGTATCACAGACATCCCTATTGGGCTGGGTGAATCCTTCTTTTGACCTAGCACAGCCTTTCTTATATTCACCCAGCCCCCTGGTATCTCTGCTGATTATCAGTCTACTGATACCGACTATTCATATCAGCTTGTTTCACTAACTCCACACACACACACACCTGCTCTGGCACCCACTTGGTAGGCATTGCTTACCTAGAAGATACATGGGCTTTGCAGGTTTGAATGCCACAAGCGTTTGCTTCCATTTGGAGCTAACACATAGAGCCAGCTCCACATTGCTCAGTAGGCAGTCCAATGTCTGAAAAATGGACCCTGTTAGTCTCTTAAAAACACTAAGATGAGAGCCGAGACATCATATTGGATGGGGAATGGCATTCCTGAGGAACAAGCTAAAACCCCCTGTTAAGTGGGAAATTACCTACAGGCAGCCAACAGGAGATAATTTTTTTAAGGAATACATTAAGGACCATCTCTGTGGTTTAGACACATTGAATACTTCCAATGGATGAAGATGCAGATCCTAAAAGGCAAATAAGCCTACCTGGAGCAAGGCATAGGTGCTGAAATAAACATTCATAGTCATACTCAGCTGCCTATGGTCTTGTAGCTTTGAAATTTACCCAGGTTTTATAATCTCTCTCCTTAGCAAACTTCTATCTAGATTGCACAGGAAGTGTCAGTGGGATATTTTGGATCTCGCCCCTAACACAAGGATGTCTCAAGAGGAGAATCAGTTAGCTGAACAGAAAGAGTCTGATGAAAACTAAAGTAGATGAAAGCAACTCCTTTGTGCATCCTACTCTGGGAATACAGGAACCTTATGAATTTTGAGGTTTTGTGAACATAAGGGATTTTTAAATTCTCTGAGGGCTTGCAAAATGAATTTTGTCTCTTTCTACTCTATCATTTAAACTCATAGTTTGTTTTATTTCATATAAGTATAATTCAATTTTTTAAAAACCACAAAAAATGTTTTTCTAGCTCAGACAATCATGTGCAATGTATTAAGGACAGAACAGCCTCCAAGTCCAAGGTTTGGCACTGTCTCCATCCTAGAGAGACATACTTACAAAAACTGTGATCTTTTTCTTTCCCTTTTCTCTGCTACTTTCCCAGGGTGTCTCTTTCACACAATCAGCTCTCTGTTTCTTCTCTCACCCTGGTTTTCACCATATATACTTGTCTTCCCCCTCTTTCATAGTCACCTTTAAAGGTATAAGTAAGATGTGCTCCCAGTAACACTGAAATCAACATCAACATTTTAAGGAATAATATTTCAGTAGGTTTGAAATCTGTCAGAATGATTTAGCCTATATCTAATACGAACAAGACATCCAGGGATTATTTCTAGCACTCTCTCTTGCGAGTTTATAATTTCTGATTCAGAAGCACTGCATTTTGAACAATACCAGGCCAAACCTTCAAACAGTATTCACTCAAATAAAAATTTAAATTTGTTTGGGTGTCTTCATGCTTCCATTTGCATTCAGTTATCATGAATATGCCAATATGTGAAATGATGACAGAACCAATCAGACTAAGAATTTTAACTAAATACATAATTCAATAGTTGAAAGAATCTAGAGATCAGAAAGTTTTTTAACAAATTTGAGATAGCTGTAAACAGCTGAAGGGGATTTCTTTAAGAAAAGAGAAATCTAATAATCTACACAAGTACATCTCAGTAAAATACTTGTCACAAATATTGAGCATTCTCTTTATAAGAGACAGAGTTGAAATAATGGCTCATTCGGCTACTCTGAAGCAACAGCCCAGCCTCCAGGGCCACTGATTACCAGCAACAGAAGAAACTTTAAACCCAGCTTCTATTACGTGGCACGTCATCATGCACATCATCAGCTATGGCACACACCTCAAATCTTATCTATCCTCACACAAAAGCATCTTAAAATCTTGGAGGTTTATTTGATATTATTCATCCTAGGACCCTGGAGTAACATCATAATATTTGTGTGAAAGATGAATCAAGAGCCACTGTTTTTTAACTGGCTTCCTTCCCTAGAGACAGGTGATTCAAATCCAACAGCATCTTCCAAGCTGAAATAAAAAAAAAAAACAAAACCTTGAAACATTTATAAAGCAAAGTAACTTCCAAAGAATAGTAAATAATGTGCTATCAGAGGCATAAGTTTCACAAGTCGCATTTTTTACATGGAGAGTAAACAGCACTTGCTGTACCTGAGCCTGGTATGTACAGAGGATGCGGTTTATTCATTCTTTCTTGTGTCAGAAAATGTAGAGTAGTTCATAGGCTGCAGTGTTTCAAATTTCCACATTTTGAAAGACTGCAACTCCTTCTCCAGACTGTAAACTAAAAACCTTTTCTTGTGTCCCAGTGCAGAGCCTCATGCCTTAGCTGACCAGCATAGGATCAGAAGGGTCACAGTGCTGGCCATTCTGCCCTAGCTTAAATATCCAGGTTAAAAAAATAGAAAAGTGAGGCTTGCACAGATTTGGGGTATACTTTGTTTTACACATTTAGAAATATTTGTTGCATCAAAACTATGCCAAGAAACCAAATAACTAGATTTTGGATCTGAATTTACCTTTTTGTTTTATTTTTAAGGAAAAGTCTGACAATAGAGGTCAATCTATTTTCCACTTACAGTCTTTTAAATTATAGCGGTAATCTTTCTGTTACTGACAGCAGTGTTAGCATTTGCTTATTACTGTGTTGCCTGGAAGTCCTTGGCAGAAATCAGGATTCTAAATGCCTGTCTAGATGTTGCAAACAGGACATTGTGAATAAAATGAGTATTAACTGTGATTATTAGAGTCAGCTGTAACCAGAACGACTGCTTAAAGGAAAATTTTGGAAAATCTTGGACCCATGTTCAAACTAGCTGTTCTGGCCACTTCTGTGGTAATTGCTTAGTCTGTATTCTTGAAGCCCTTAGCTGCTAACTCTGACTTTAAATTGGAGCCTCTCTTCCTGTCAAAATCCCAAGACACAGAATCAACAGAAACAATGGAGGAGAAGAGAACGCTGTTTTGCTTTTTGCTTCACAAATTATTAACTGAACACAAAATAAGGGTAGAGGTTGCATTAAAATGTAAGGAAAGCACAGTTTTATATATTGCCAGCAGTAAACCATCTACATATAAAAGTACTTTCTTTTTCTCTAGAAGCAAAGAGTAGGCTGTAAGTGCAAAAAAATGGTAAAAGTACTATGAACAAAAGAGGAAGAACTAGGAAAGAAGTCATTATTGAGTAATCTGTCTCTTAAATAGTTAAAGACCGTCTTGCATTGGTGTATTTGCACAAACTCAAACCCCTTTACTATTAAGAAATGAATGCAGATTATTTCCTTTACACATATGACAGCCAGAATATTTTTGTATTACTTCACAAGACGTTCTTCTCCTTTACAAAATGCTATGACTCCTGTTAGCAGACAATACAGTTTTGTTAACTCATTACCCAACCTCACATGCAATGTAATAAAACTCATGATAAATTGCTCTTGCTCCATAAACTCTCCCACAAGTAAATGGCTTTTGACAGCAAAGAAGGAATATCTCCCATCCCTCTCCATTGAATTTCTATTAGTTTTGCAGCATTTCTGTGCTACAATTAATCTACAGCAAAGACTTGATGTAAGAGCACAAATTTCACAAAATATAAAACAAAACGCTTACATTGTAAATTCCTCTGTACCCACAGTTACAAGAGACATGTAGCAACTTGCTGCTTTGCTGTAGTAGAACCTGCAAAATATATGCAGGGTAATGAAAGAAAACAAACATAAAACATTTCAAGAACTTGATCTTGCAAGTTGCTGAGGCACCAGCAGTAATTTCCATGGGAACATCTGTGCTTAAAGATAAGAACGTGCTTGAGAGCTTCCCTGAGGCAAAGCCAGAAAACTCAACTTCTCAAGCATTTGAATTTCTCCTCATTCGAAAGTACAGAGATGATCATGACACTTTCCTCAGCTGTTTTAATTAGTTGATGTGTTTTAGATGTAAGCAAGTCAGAACATTATGCTTTTCTTTTCACTTAAAACTCTGAAATTTTTTTCCTGTGTGTCTAACCTTGAAGAAAATTCCTTCTCTACCTAAACTGAGAAGAATTCATTGAAACATTGTTATATTTCATAACTAATTAAAGAGAGTATTTTGAGTATGTGATTTACCATGTGCTTTATCTGATTGCATTTGATCCCCCTGACCTTTTAATCGAAAGGGGAAATAGATTTATCTGTGGTGAAAACATGACATGATTACCAACTCTGCCTTACTTTTTAGAATCTATATGAATTTCTTGTACCTAGGTTTTACAACCTAGTATTGTGAGTCATTTTCCTAGTACAGAGATGTCATCATGTTTATGACCTTATGTTTTCTTTTTCTTGCCTCAGTTTCCGTTCTGTCCTTAGCTGAACAGTTTAACTTTAGACTTTCCCCATTGCTTCCTGTGTTAAATCCGTGTTGCTGAGAAGTCTTTGCTGATCTCTTGACCTCTAGCATTCATGTTTCCTATGTATTGCATAGTCATTATTAAAATCAGTAACGTTTTCTTGGAAACATTTTTAAGGTTGTTGAAGTATTTTGGAATCCTGCCCGTTAGTAATCTTCCTACACAAAATACTGTAAATCAGTGCTTGGCCAGTTGAACTGTGATTGTTGCTCATGTTCTAGGTGTTCTCAAATGTTCTCATTTTCAAATGAATAGGATTCTTTGCAGCAGGAGCTTCACAAATACAGGCAGAAACAGCATAAAAGAATTCACTGTTGCCCAGATTACACAAGTTTTAAAACTTTGAACTTTGTTCAAACGTGTGTGTCATTTCGGTTAAAGTTCATCAATGAACAAAGTTGTAATGGCTTTCACACTCTTGGCCAGAGTCAAAACAGCTGGTTTTTAAGAGCAATTTTCTATAGATGCTAAAATGTTCATTCAATGCTTTACTTCTTATGCTTCTAAGTAGCAAATTTCAAATGCAAGTGGCTACAGTAATCAGATTTAATATATCATACTGCAATGGATCTTAAAGTCAAAGACGAAATTCAGATGCTCTTGTTTTGTCATGGTGAAAAGCATAATAAATGTGTATATTTTCAGACCACTCTTCTTTGAAAAGTTGGGGAAAAAAGTGTCCAGTCTCCTTCAGTCTTCCAAATAATTTCTAGAACATTTTAACATATTTATTCTAGGATAATTTTATACATCATTGCCTGAATGTTTGTCATTTGCCACTGGCTTCAGCAGCAAAACCAGTTTTAAAACCTAGGTCTCCCTTCTTTCACCACATCAGTTTGCTGGCCCCCCCCAGCAATACTCATGGAACTATTGATGGGGGGCTCTGCGAGAAGGTGAATTGCTGAAAGGATCTAGGTCATGAGAAACTCTGGAGAGGCTGACACATTGTGGTATAGGGGCAGGAATGAGAGATGAGCAGAAGAGGCACATGCAAGAACTCAGGACTCCTTGAACTGGCATCATCTTCATAACACAGACTGACATCCTGAGAAATACCCTCCTGTGGCTGGGGAGCAGCTGTGTGGAGATGCAAACTCCAAAAGCCTTCAGTGAATGGGAGAAGGCACCAAGTTATAGCATCAGTTGCAACTTCCAAAGGCAATTTAATCACATGCATTAAACAGATTACAAACTCATCTCCCTCCTCTCTCTCCTCACCAAGTCTACAAACTACAGCCAAAAAGTTCTCCCTTTCTTGGGCACGTTTATTCCTTTAGATGTTCTGATGTAACTATTTCACTGACGGTGCTGTCACCTCACACATTTTTCTTAACTGAAAAGTACTTTGAAGGTGAGGCTAGATTTAAAGGAAGCCCAGTCGGACAAACTTCTCTGGCTGTGGCTCATCAGTGTCTGTAGTTACCCATTCAGACTTCCTCAAGCTGCTTTTTCAGGCCTCACCACCCATCCCATGTGAGACAGCTACACTTTCCCATGTCCTGGCACGACTGCACGCATAGTCTCCTCTAGCCTAGTTCTGTCAAATTTGATCCAGGTTTTTTGTTGGGTTTGGTTTTTTTTGATCCCCCACTATGAAGTATTTAAAGTCACTCAAATCATCTTGACAGAATAAAGTTAATGAGTAACCAGACATTCAGTTTTGCTGGAGGCTGGAGATAGATCAGGGGACAAATATTTCCAGTTGGAAGAAAGTGTCAGGCAGGTGACAAAAGCCTGGGTAAGTCAGTCCCTCCACCTCATTAGCAGACATTATATATAGGTAGGCTAGTCTCATACTGGCTAACAAATCCATACCTAACTCTTCAGTCACTACTAACTGATGCTTTTCAGTCAGTCAACAGCACCTGTTACTCAAGAACAAGTAGACAAGAATGTCCTAGATCAAACAGTATCTGGATTTTGGGATAAAAGTTGAAACAATAATAATAATAATAATAATAATAATAATAATAATAATAATTTGTAAAAGTCTGAGCTTTTGTTTACACATCAAAAAGTGTAAAAAAAAAAGAAAATATCCATTTAAGTTTCAACTTTTCATTTCAAGTAACAATACTGCTTGAAATGCAAAATAGCAGCTCTGAATGAGAGTTGCAAAATTATGGGGCAAGTTAGTCTCTTAAAGGTTACACATTTCCAAACTTTAATAAACCATGGAGAGACCACTGCCTTATCTTATTGTCTTGGATTTCTCAATTTCCTTTTTCCATCAAATATGTTTCAGTTGTGGTCATATGTCATTGATTTGGTAACTACATTTGCTCTTTTTCAGACAAGTCTTGTATTGAGAAAACCTTGAGTTAAATCCAGGTCAATTCATTCAAATTGTGGCTGTGCCAGAACCAGATATTTTTTATGCCAAAAATCACTTATTCATTATTCTAATGTTTGAGATAGTATTGATTGATTCTGTTTTTATTATTCTAATACAATGCAGTGTCACTCAGTCAAGAGCAATATCAATATAAAGCAAAACATTGCTTTATATCAGGCAGTATTGTTGTTCACTGAGTAACACAGCAGCAAGAATCAGCCTCTGAATCATTTACATCTTAAGGGAAAATTACTTCATTGACACATCATTTTTTAATGTAATTTTTCCATGCCTTACTTCTTTCAAAGGAAATGTAGGGCTATACTTTAGAAACCATGTAATACATAGAAGGTGTGGTATTTGGTAACTTTACTTGCATTAAATAAGCAAGCACTCATAAAGAGCCCTTGCAAAAATCTGAGTTTGGTCTCAGGAATCCTGCCTTGCCATGCCTAAACAAAGGAGCTATGTGTAAGTGTGCATTATTTTTGCAGCTAATTACAAGGTTGATGAGCAGGCAAAACATTTTAAAATGTTTCCTTGTAGATCTCTACTTTCTCATATGCTGAACTAAAGACAGAAAGGGTAAGTGCACATGCAGCTTCAACTATTTATTTTCTTGTAAATGGCCTTGGAAAAGAGTGCAATCATTGTTAGCAAGAACAGCAAATTCATCTTTATCATGAGTTTAGATAAGGAAAGATTTTACGGGAAGCTCTAAGAAAGAAAAGCAGTTTCCACAATAAAATATATTGTCAAAAGACCATTCTTATAAAATATCTGTTTATTGGAAGTTATTGAAAAAAAATAATTATAATAGAAATTTAGTTTAAAATACATCGTACTTTGAAAAACTTATGTGAAACCCAAATATATTTGGTGGGTTATTTTCATGGAGAAGCAGGAATGAAAGCAAAAAAATCCTTGTCAGAAGTTTTTGAGAAAAATACAATTTCCTAATGAAACATGCTATTTATAGTACTTAAGTTAGGAAAAAAAATTATGCTTTCAAAAGTAAAAATTAACAAGATTTTCTATGAATAGGAAAACTTAAACATTATGGTTTACTCTGAGCACCACAATAGCTCTAGCTCCTGAATGTTTGTCCCTTCCAACAATATTTCTACTTCCTACTCATATTTCTAACTTTCTTCCCCCACTTAAGAACACCCTTTTTTTTTTTTTAGAGAGAAACTAGGCTAAACTCAATTTAATTTTTCACAAAACTGATTTGTACATCCATAAACACAAAGAGGGAGGGACCATAGGTAATATAACTCCCCTGGTTCTGTAGAAGAGTCATTGATGCTTCAAGCTACTGTCTTTTTGGCTTTGGACCTTATGAGGACCCTCATCAGCCTGTTGCAGAAGATGCTCAAAGCTCCCCAGACCTGGATGGTTTTACACAAATTCACTTCAACTCTCTCAAGTCGTGATGTACCGGTAGAATAACCCTCTGTTCACACCATGCCTGTCCTGTGAGCTGCAGGAATGAAGAGTTACTGACCAGGACATTCCATACCCGTTACACTGTACAGTACTTATCCCAGATACGCCACTTTTCAGTATTTTCAGTAATGGTTTGCACAATGGAATTAATAGCACTCATATCAGCTTCGCAAAGAACACAATGCTTGGAAAAGCTGTAAGACCTATGCAGACCACAGGATTTGAATTCAGAAGGATGAACTGAAGAAATAGAGAGGATGCATTACCGGAGTAAGAGTCATGTGGTCATTAAAAAAATAGAATGTGTTTCACTAAGGACAAATGCAAAGCACAGCACTTGGGAATAACTGACTGAACAGATATAAGATGGGGATGACCGGGGTAGCAGTTCTACAAGCGGGATCAGAGGTCACAATGGGTCACAGACTGAACATGTGTCAGCAATGCCACAAGGCTGCAAGAAAAGCAAATATCCTCGAAAAGGGTCAATAGAAAGACAGTTTAGATGGAGTAT